ACTGGGGAATTTAGAGTATTTCTAACACCTACATCAATAGCCAGAAAAGTTCTCACAGCCTTTACAAAGAGCATTGTTCTTCCCATCAGGACACATATGTGGAATCAATTTGCACTTAACTTTACTGATCAGAATATATTGAAGTGCAACATTCATTCCCTTGGTATGAAACTTCACAGCTAGAACCCGAGAAGGATGGAGTGAAAACACATGGCAGACCAGATTCAGGAAGCAGTGGACAGAGACATCAGACAGTAGAAGCAAGTTGAAAATGGACTTTATACTTTGGGCTGCCTGAGGACCGCCCTTTCTAAACATGTGGAGACTGAAACAGAACCAAGGCAATTGAAAGTCTATTGTCAATCTCTACTTTTATATGTTCAATCATGATCTGGGTCCTTACACCATTTACAAACAGAATGGTGAATGCCTATTATTATGTTTCCATGATTCTCAGGGTAAGGAATAAAGGGTTAAAAAAAAGAAGAAGAAGAAAGAAAAGAAAACCACTATTCCAAGTCTCAAAGGGTTCACTGTGATAGAGGAAACAAGTGGGCTCTAATAGAAGGATCAGCGGTCTCCGTCTTACATTCATTATTATAGAGGCAGTCAACAGGAGATAAGAGGCGCTCATGGGCAGGAATCCCAGCTTCCCCATTTTCAGCTGTATGATCTTGGTTAAGCAAACTTACAGAATGATGCTTTCATTTCCTTACCTAGAACTTGTTTAGCAGAAATGGGCCTTAGACAATGAGCTATGGTGCAAATGCAATGGCACCCCATGTAATGGCATGTGTGAACACACAGGCAAGAATTCCTGACAGTGAAGGATTAGAAATGTTGATGAGCCAAATCTAGACCAGTGAGTGGTTCTCAACCTGTGGTTCATGACACTTTTGTAGGGGTCAGCTAAAACCCTTGGGAGTAACGTATGTTACATTATGATTGATACAGTAGCAACATTACAGTTAAGAAGTACTAATGAAAATAATACTATGGTGGGGGTGGGGAGGTCACCATAACATGAGAAAGTGTAGTAAAGTGTCACAGTATTAGCAAGGTTGAGAATCATTGCTCTAGACTATGCACAGAAAGTTAGATTTTATCCTGAAAACTATCCTAAAAGCTTTGTCCTCATTGAAAACTCATACATGAGAACCATATTAGAAAGGGAAAACTAGTCCCTCCCCCAACGAGGAATGTTGGACATTTTGAAAATTTCCAATTGTACATCCTTTCCTGATGTTCTTTGGGGAATAAAAGAATAGTTAACTCTACTCAAATGTTGCAGTTCTGTGTCCTAGTTGCTCTCATATAATGGTAGCACACATGTGCTTATTTCTCTCTTGTTATTTAAGTCAGATCTACCCTTTCACCCTCTTCAGGCCCTACTCTTTCTTCCCAGTCTCTTCACTTTGATCAGGAGTTTCTCCTTCAGAAGTTTGGTCTCCCTAGATCAACTTCAGTCACTTTTCAAAAAGCAACCTCAACACTGATCATCATGAAAAAAAATTCTTCCTCTTCCAAGCCTCATGCTCTTTTTATAAGCCTTCACACCTTGGACACACATGGGACTACATAGTCATAAATGAAACTTTACTTCTACTTTGGAAAGTAGGCTGCTGCTGTATTGCTGAGACTGGCCTCATGAATCTATGATCATCCTGCCTCCGATTTGCAAATGCTGAGATTACAAACATCTACATTGTACAGATAATGGCTTGCCCAGCATAAATATTATGTGTACCCATGGTGATAAATTGAAAGCTTGAATTTTAATTCATCACATCATATTATAGAGGCCAAAATAAATGATCATTTTTTTCTCATTGATATTTTTCCATAGGTTTTGGTAAGGTTAGTATTTGTTGCTGTAGTCTTTGCTCATCTTCACCATATCCAAATGGGAATACATAGTTAGACAGGGTGTGTATTCATAGGATTTGCTTTGATTTGTGGCATTGAGGGCATAGATAGAAGCTTAACATGTATTTAAAACTATTCTATTCTTGTTATGTAGTATATCCTCTCAAGTAACCCAAACAGAAACTCTATAGTTAGTTTTAAATCTCAGTTCTATAGGAAACTAAAGTTCCAGAAGAAAAAATAATTTCCTCCAAGTGGTAGATGTTTCTCCCATACCATTCTTTATTCTTATTTGCCAGCACCTTAATCATGCCTATTTTGGAGCACTTTAACCTCTACATACCTTGATTTCAAAAATGAGTGACTCTATAGTATCTTGAATACAAAATGGTACAACAAATGCTCATTGGATGAATATATTATTGTAAAGAATATCTCATGTTACAACCTCCTCATGGATATATCAGCAGCATTATTAGGAAGTTTTATAAATCTTTAAACATTAGTTATTTGTTCCTGGCTACTGAGTTGGGAACAGTTGAAGGCTATAACTAGTGCTTACTTAGTTATATAGTTCATAGGGACAAGCACAACATTTACAACTTTATTTGCAATGATTTTAAAGTTGAATTTCAATTATAAAAATATAGGTGAAGAGTTAGAAGAATTTCAAACATAGAATAAATCCCTGTGTATTTGAGAATGAAGGAGACTAGAGAACATCAATTTATTCAACTCCTAAATGTTCTGGTTGTTCTGGGCCTAATGACTTCATTATATTTCATTAAATATTTTCAACATCTCCCCACAAGGGAACTAATCATTACAATGGCTATTTTATAATCTTACTGCTATAGCTCATATCTTACATTCCACTGAGGAATTTGGACTTCAAATCCAGCTGTTTTTGACCTTGACATAAAAATGCTCTGAGAAGTTGAATAGATATAATTGCTAGAAAGCAGTATTACAAAACAAGTTAAATAAATGGATGACATTTGGATGAGGGGTAACTTAATCTTTCTTGGTCTTAGTTCTTCATTCTAACATTTTTGTCTTAGATAGTATCTTCAGAGTTTTTGTCCTCATGTATTTGTAAAAAAATGGAATCTGTTTTTTTTAAAAATAGATTTAATAATCATTTGGCACAGATAGATACAAGGTCTTTGTTATTAAGGGATGTTATATAAAGTAGTATATTATGGTGGAGGTATAACTAGGAACACAAAAATAATCAAGGTTTTGTTCACATGTTTTTGTGTTGTTTGAGATGGTAACATAGTTGCCTTTTAAAAGTTTGGTTTATTGTTTTGTATGTGTGTATTTGACTTCCAAGCATGTCTATGTATCACACGCATGCCTGGTACCTGGGGAAGCCAGAAGAAGGTATCAGATCCCCTGAAATTAGAAGTACAGATGACTGTGAGCTGCCACATGGTGTTGAGCGCTGAACTCAGGGCCTCGGGAAGGGCAACCAGTGTGCTGAAACACTGCAGAATTTCCCTAGCTCTCAAAGTTATATTTTTAGTTAAATCTGGTAAGTAGAGGGGAAACAACAGCATTTTAAGGGTAAGCTGACTAAATTTGTGAATGAGACTATCTATTCTTTTATATATCAAGTACAGATTACCAAATTTTATCTGCCAAAAATTGTTTCTCCTGTGATTTGGGGGCTAGATATACTTTCTTAAAAAAATTTACTCTAACTGTTGATGCATATTAAAAGGGATTGTCACTGTGTTTGTTCATAATATTTTGTTCATAATATGTTGAAAACTATACTTATTTTCACTACCTGAAAATTAAAAGGGCTAATGATATAGTGTATATAGTATTTTAAAGACCATACTGTCATTAGTCAGTATATGATAGTATGCTCTTCACTGTTTGCTATGAGGGTAGCTTTACTAAACGCTCTGCATTTTACTTCTTAATATTTCATGACTTGATTTCATGACTTGATAAAACATGAAAGAGAAAAGTCCAGAGTAACAGTGACAGTTCCATCAAACAAAGTTGATATAATCTTTAAAACCTTTTTTTTTTTCCTTTGTAGCCAAAAGAATGTAGTGAAAAAAGTCAGGCCTTCCTTTATAAACTAGAGTGAGTTTGAACTCACGACCCAAAACGGACTGAATACACTAAAACATCCATACACCAAAGGCCCTAATGACGATCACTTCAAATCTTTCTGCCACATGCTGACATCTGGCACCATTTTGCTTTGTAGAGAGAGAAGTTACCTCAGGTCTGAAAACTGAACATTCTTTGTTCAAAAATAAATAAGCAAACATATGACCAGCTATGACTTCTTCTACCTATAATGCTATGAGGAACATGTTACAGAATTTAGATACAATTAGAACCTTTAATATTAAGCTTACAGCATGAAAAGACAGTCCAACACACGAACTGTCACTACAACTAACCAGGATATTCTTAATGTATTAATTCCTGCCCCCCAGGACTCATATGTGGCTTGTAGGACATCCTAATTAAAATTGTCCATCAGGGAAAAATGAGCTCAAGAAGAAATAAAAAACAAACTCTATGTTATTTAAAGTGAGACACAAAAGTGAATGGAAAATGAGTATGTCATTGAGAAGCCATTTTGAAGGCCATGATTTAAAAGAAAAAATCTGTTCTTTAGGAAGTCTTGTGAGAAAAATGTCTCATGGTCAGAGAGTTGATCTGGAGCCCTGCTCTATAACAAGTAGACCCATGCATTTTCTTAATGTAGAGATCAAAGCTCTGAGTGCTTTTCTGTAATGTGTACATTTCTACACAGCAAACAAATAAGTCAAGGCCTTTGGTAAATGGCTACAAATACAGACTAATAAGCCAGAAAGCTCACAGAATATGAACATTAATTTAATAGGCATATCCTCCCAACAATCTTCTTCAAAAAGCACATTGTCTAAAAACCAGAAGGAATGTTTTTAAGGGTGAAAAATGAAAAGATATTAAACATAAGCTGAAGACATCTGAATAAAGTGATCACTATAAGATACTGAGCAATGAATTAACTGGTCTTCTGCCAACCACAGTGCTACTCATGCTACCTATAGTCATATTTTGTATGTTTTCTAGCTTTGATTTTAATGCAATAAATAAATATGGAGGGTAAGTCATACCTTAAATTCCTCCAAGATTTTGTAATTTTTTCCATGATATTCACAAAAGTTTTTCACTTCTTTACATTCTGGACAGCATCCATTGTGTTCCACTTTTGTACATTTCGGATGAATTTTAGGGCATTCTGGCTGGTCACAAACAGGTCCATCTAGAGCACAGACACATGGACAGTTGGAATGCCCTGGGAAAAACCGCTCTCCCAATTTGTATACAAAGCCGCTGTCATCCACACACCCTTTCCCTCGATAGTCATCAAAGATCAGATTGTCATTACTGGAAGCCTGGTCACCTTCATCAGCAGGATAGTCTTCGTGACTGATGGCAGCAGAGGTGACCAATCCAGGGATGACCAATAGAAGTATGCAAGCTTCATGAATATGAAGAGCCATCCCCCTCCTCACAGGCTTCTGGATGTTCTCCTAATATTAAATACACTCAGCTCCTTCCATGGGAATGCAAGAGGGGTGGGCTGAAAATAAATATTTAAAAGATAATTTGACATATATAAAGAGTAAATAAAAATGCACTTAGCCCATGCTCTTAAATTGTTTGTATGGGTTCAATTTTGGAAGACACTGAGCAATATTCATCCAACTGTCTCTACTATAAAGTTTGAATAGTGGATTTTGGTAATATATGTTTTAATAAACATCATTAATGGAGTTATTTTATGTAGGCACCTTCAGCTTGCAATTTTCCTTTGAATTTCAATGGTTTGGCTCTTTACACATTGTAAGAAGTGGTTTTGTTGAAGCTTAAAAAGTGATTTTAAGAATATAGTGCAAGGATATTTGGAACCACATCCATATTTTTCTTTAAAGTGGATGAGTCAGTAATAAATTGTAGGCATTACAATATTCTGGATGAAAACAAGAGATTGAGGTGAAGCATTAAATTCTAAAAGGAAGGGAATTAAAAAAATAGTTGGGTACAAGTTTAAATGAGATAGATATAATATAAAGACTTTCTTTCTCATGTCCATAATCTGGAGTTTGGAACACACTGAATATGAAAAATAGCATAACAAATCATGGTGAATAAAAGAATACATATATAAAATAAGTGTTACAAGAAAATTTAATTCATGGAAATGGATTTGTTAAAAACAAAGCCATTTATACTACTGTCCCCATCTTTATTTTTATGTTGGAGATAAGCTCCTAGTGGGCAGGAAAGTTATAGCTAAAAATTTTTATAGCAGCCAAGATCTAATGGTCATGTGATGTTACTTGAAGTTGATTACTTCTATATGATATGAATACCATTTAATTTTATTGAAAATATCACTCATTGGAAATGACCAAGATATTTGCATTTAGATAATTTGTGCAAAGATGCCAGAAAAAATTTTTGTGGAAATTTCTTAAAATAATAATGAATCATTGATAGTCACAGACTGTATACCTTATTACCTGGATACCCCAATAGACTTCCATGGTATGAGTATTAAGTGTTGGTAGTGAGATCTCCTTTGACTATTTAGAGTGCTAACTTATAGTTCCTAGGGAAACTATAATTTCTGGGAATCATAGATGAGGAAAATTATTTTAAAATATTTCACTTATCTATTTAAATGCTGTTGGCTTCAATCCAATATCACTAAGAATGTCTGTAGGACATTTTAAGATATCTAAGTTTCATTCATTGTTTTATTTCTAAACTATACTAAAAACAGTGATAAACTACTTATTTTCAGGCTAGCATATAATTATGATAATTTTAAAAATGATGAAGATGATGCTAGGAAACTTCATAAACTCTTAGAATATATTTGCATTTTAAGTTAGATATGCAAATTCCAGTAATAGTAAAATGGAAGGCAGTATATTCACTTTCTCTTTTCAGAGAAGGTTGATATTAGTATTCTTTCAATATTCTCTGATATTAGAATTCCTTTTTGGTGACTCCTTTGGGGTAATGATAAAGGAGATGGATTTCTCTTAAAATATGTCAAAAATAATGAGTCATGACAGAACAAGAAAATGCAAACCTATAATTCTACTTGAGAAGCTGGAAGCTCTCTTTGACAAAGCATTTCTTTTCGTCTAAATTACTACAGAGGCCACAAACCCAGTAGAAGCCTCTGGAAAAGCATACATCTTTCTTACTAATGAAAGCATACATTTATGCACCTCTCACATATGTAGAAAGTTTATCCTGCAAGACAAGGATGCTACCGTGCCTCCTCACAGTATCCAGCCGTGTCTATCAATCCATGCAAGAAAAGCCATGTGAAATACATACAGGATTCTGCTTTAAAATGACCTAGGCAGAAAATGATCATTTTTGTAAGCCACAGGTAGGCATTAATGTGCAAGGTTATGGTAAATGTGAACTTAAAGATAAAAACTGGGGTGGGGTGCCTGCTTCATATTAACACTAAGCATGCTTTTATTGGGAGAAATACATATCTTTTTAATGAAACAAAGTTCTTAGGCTATTTTTTAAAGAACCTTCAATATTAAATATGCTTTAGTACCATCTAAAATTCTGTTTAAAGAGAGGGAGGTTATAGAAAGCAAACAACACCATTATCTGAAGATTTTAAATAGGAATGCAACACTGCTAAACTGAGGATCACTTCCCAGCTAAACTTTCCCCCCTCACTGTATTGCTACATTTGATTTAAAATGACTGCATCTATTTCTTTGAGAAAGCAAATACAACTCATGCCATAAGATTCACTTACCTAGTCACTCTGAGGTTAATGATGGTGCTGGGGGTCACAGACCAATCTGAACTTAAAGGTCAGGTATGTCTTAGGAAAGCTGGTCCTCTTTAGTCACCCAAAGAATGCATTTTCAGGCATGAATTAAAGGCAATCCATCCTCTCTACCTCCCATTTCAAAACACAGCCAAGAAGCAGTCTCCCACCCTTCCAGAGAGAAACAGCAGACACACATAAGAAATATGCTTTGGACTGTCTTCAGAATTCAAAGCAAGAAGCAATACTGGTCCTGTGGAAATCCGGACCCCGGTAGCAGGATCATGTTGAACTTATTTTTAGCATTTTCTTAGATCCTTCTATGAAATTTCCTGGCTGCTTACGCCTCCTCCACACATGGGTTCACTTACACAGTGCTTGCTACGGCAGTAGAGGTGACTTGGCTAGGCTCTGAGGATCACAAACAGAAACAGCATACTGAAGATTAAAGCCCACTCCACCGGCAGAACCATCAGCATCATCCACGGTAATGTTGACTGAATCCCTCCTCACACACCAGAAGATTCTAACTGTGGACGTGAAGCAAAGGCACAACTTTAGCTAGGGTTTGGCATCGCTGGGAGCAGTTTGCAGACTGCTGATTCGGAGCTCATCCTGCCGGCAGCCGGGAATTCCTCAGCACCACGGACAGCGCCAACAACTGGCTTCTGAGCCCAGCTTGGTTGAAACCCCCAGCTGCTTCCGCGCGGACCAGGCTGGAGTGTTGTCTAAGCAGTCACTTGATACAGCGGATGCGAGAATTGGGGAGGGGGGGGGGGTTCTGCGTGCGAGACACTTATTTGCATTTAAATCACAATAAAAAATTAGAAAGATGTAATTTCGCCTAATGCATTCTTGGATGGTCTGCAGAGATGAAAGTTCCGGGGACTTGCATTTAGATTTAAGCCATCTGCAGTCCTTCGTTATTACTAATAGATAAAGCACACTCATTGTCAAAGAATCTGTGAAAATGTATGCTTGTCTATTCTATTTGACCCTCCAGTTATAGAAATATTTTCCTTGTGCTATACATAATTCAACTTTGGGTCTTCTGCAGCTCGGGTTTGATTAAAAAAAAAAAAAAAAAAGTAGCCGCGTTTTCCTGCAGTTTGTTCTCAACGTTAAAAATCAATGTCTTGTAATTCATCTACTCTGTCATTAGGCGTCATTGTAAAGCTGTTTCTTCCAACCTCCTAGCAAAGATGCCCTGTCTCTAAATTCATAACCAAATGAGAAAGAGAGAGAGAATGGGGAGGGGTGGGGGGAGAGAAACACCAGACAGATAAATGAGTAAAAAGTTAAAATTTTTATTTTTAGCAGTGTGGACCACATACTATTTCTTCAAAGCTTGTTTTAAAACAAATATGCTGTTTATTGGTTGCTTTAACCAGGTACTTGCTGGCTTGGGAGCGGACTGTGAGAAACATTTTTAAGCCTTGAGGGAATGCCCTCTGCAGCAGGGTATGCTTTTTGCCGATCAGAACCACAATCGAACGGTGCCGTCAGAACCTCCAGAGTACAGATTGTTCCCGTCGTGGGAAAACACCACAGTGTGCACCTCACTCTCGTGGCCCACCAGTTTGTGAATTTGACCAGATTTAAGATCCAGCAAATGGATTACCCCGTTGGCGCTCGCCTGAGCTAAAACTCGACCTGCAAAACAGGGAGACAGGGAGATTTAGCTCAGTCTCAGTATGTAAACGATACAATATTTTATCTTGTTTTGGTCGTAATTCAACAGACTCATTTTTATGTTAGGCTCTCATTAAATATGAACTAAGACCTATCTACAAGAAGAATTTGAGCCATAATTAAGATACAGTTAGAATAAAAGCCTGTAATTCTATTTGCTTAACGTCCAGAGGTCATTAAATGCCCCATCATTCTTCTTATATTTGTGATTGGCAGATGATTTCAAGATGAGATTGAGAGTAACTGAAGAGGGCAACTTTATTTTCAAATGAATATATTAAAATATTTTAAAGCAATAGTTACCTAAATGAAAAATTGAACACATGCATTGTATTTAAACATCTTTAGGTATTTATTCCAGAAAATTTAAAATGTATTTACCTGCTTTAAATATGTTTATTATAATTCTGTGGAAGTTATGTGCAAAACTATAACAGTAGGGATATTTATAGTTTGATACTTTTTTGGAGTTGAAATGAAAAACAATAATATCCATAAATCAGAATGACATGATGTTTAATTTAACTTAAAATTTAAAGTTCTTGCAAATTAACATATATAAGGTAACCCAAATATAGTGTGGGAAATCTTTGAAATTTTCATGACAATTTTAGTGAGTAATGAAGAATCAAAATAATCTAACTTCAGTTAATAATTTTATTGATAAATCCCAGTAGGAAACTATCTGTGCATTTGGAGACAAGTGAAGTCAGTAGAATATGCTCATTTGCTCTTAGGACATTGGATTATCTAATCATACTTAGAAGTCATATTATCATCCCAACAGCAGTATTTAAAACTTATTAAACTCTTTCAACATGCTGATGCCACACTGAGTACTGGGTAGGAATCACTCTGTACAACTGTTACAAGGATAAAAGAAGTAGCAGTAATTCCATCAAACATGAAGAAAGAGGCTAGGGAAGACAAAAACGTTATTCCTCATGTATGGAAGTAGCTAACATTCAGACAAACACAAACATATGAAAACTATAGCCTAGACTTGGAATCATCATGCTTCCACATCCAGGTAACACCTCTAGACAGAACTTTGGTAGGTGGTACATCCTGAAAGGGAGTTTGTCCATTTCAGAGTAAAGAATCAATAGTGCTACCACCATGAGAGGCACAGTGAAATATCTGATCACGTATCACGCTCAAATAGTCGTTGCTGCCTCTGAAACAGACAGCAATTTTAAGAGGAGTAAAGCATGATAAATATGGTCTATTTGCAAACCTTTATAACCACTGAGCTTCTTCATCTAGAACAAAACCTGACACAGCAAACACCCTTAGGATGGATTAGAGTGTCCACAGCAGCAGAAGTGAATATTTTTTATAAACCCTCTTCTCCTAAAGTCTTTGCTGAGAGAAGATTACACATGGACCTCCATTCCAGACTCATTCTAGACCACACTGCTGTTTGTGATTTTCCTGAAACTCAAACAAAAGATTGTTTTCCTTGCAGTTTTTATACAATAACTATGAAGTAGTACTGGATTTTAAAAAGCATTTGGACCCATAAAGAACAAAAGCCATATGTAGAAGGATTTAGCTTGGAATGACTATGTTTGTGGTGGTCAAATCTGTAGAAATCACATTTAGGAATATTAAGAGGGATTTAAGTAATTTCTGAAAGTTTGTATGAAAATTCAAGTAGTTTTACAGGTTTAGCAGAGTTACATGCTAATACTTTTTGTGCTCCCTTTCTACTTTCACAACATATTAAAAGTAGGTAAATATTTTAAAATTTCATATATATATATACATATATATATATATATATATATAATAACTATATCCTATAAATAAAGTTGTAACACTAGAACAATCTGCTGGGAGTCATTATCTGACCTCCATTTGTGTGCCATGGTACATATGTAAACCCCTCATACAAGTCAACAGGTTTTAAGAATATCTATATTATGACCTGGACAATGGAATAACAAAATAGAAATATAATATGAAATAGTGCAGCTAGAGGTTTTTTTGTGAAACTTAGAGTAAAATTACTCCTGTTAAGATTGATTTACTTCTTTAAGATATGAGAGGCCTCAACCCCACACAAGGGACCACATACAACTAAGAGATGCTGAGAGCAGGGGAAATTGTCTTCTCGAGGAAAGAGCACCCCAAGTGACTATGCAATACTAAATAGTCAACCCTGAAAACATACATGGAAATAACACTATACAGACTGAGCAGATTGTAATAGAGAACATATATGAATATGTGTACACATATATGTATGCAATAAAAATTAATAAAAGAAGAGGCCATTCATTTGGAAAGAAGGCAGGGACATTTGGGAGTGTATGGAGGGGAGAAAGGAAAGGGAGAAATGTAACCATAATCTCAAAATTTACAAAAGGTAAATAAATACGAAAGGATGAAAATAGGTCATGCATTATATTCACTTCTGCTTTTAATTGTCTTGTGTCTGTAATAAATAGGAAATAAGATCAATTAATTGAATTATGAATGTACATATTCTAAAAATCACATATAGAATATAATGAAAAGTATGTAGTCTAGTTTATCAGTGTTGATTAAAAACAAATATTATCCAGAGTTAGGTAGGGTTTTATGTTTCTGTTTAACTAGGTCTTAGAGTTAACATGCAAAGATGCAAAGTAATGGTTCTCATCATGAAATTTTCACAGATATGTCATTTTACCTTATTATTCTCTCCAATTGCTCCCACTTTCCTGGCCCATCTGGTCCTGTTCCTTTGCCTAAGGACTCTCCTTACTTTCATGTACCATGATTTCTACCATCATCTCTTCACACTCCCTGAAGACCTTTCTTTCCCTTCCATGTTCCCTTTCTACTTTCACAACTGACCAAAACACATTCATTATATACATATATGCACACATATAGTAACTTTAAAAGAAACATTCTATATTTAAACACATGTTGAATTAAATATAACATTTCTTTTTATCTGTTACATTCAGGATATTATGCTGCTCAAATTTTTCGTCAAGTAAGAAAGCATAATTTTGGAATTATTAATTTATAACAGCTGTATTTATATAAATAACAGTGTATGTCAACCCTGAGAGATTGCGATCACCTTTCATTTCTGTGTCTCCAAAGCCATAATTAACACTTTTTTTTTTTTTTAACAATGAGGATAAGTCCATTTTGTTTTAAGGATGACTGTGCAAATTCCATTTGGTTTTGAACTAAGTTTCTTCCAATCTTTGCTACTAAATGAAGTAATTGATCTTTGTACACTTGTGTATTTCTTGAATATTTGTTTCAAGTAAATACATAACTTCCTTTAAAATACAAAACTTGTTTGCATTGTTGTAACAAATTTTTTAGAGAAAAAAAGTTCCACTAATAACCCCTTAGATAAAGCAATCTCAATCGCATTTTTCACAAAACCTCAAATATATGAACATAGTAACTTGGTCATTTTCAACAGACCCTCTTGCAAAAGTGATAGGAGGAGCTAGCCTATAGAGTGGTACCATCATGTAGTATAAGCTACCAACTATTAAACTGTTCATTCCATGCTAACAAAACCCACAGGTAAAATACTGGCACATTAATAATAAAGAAAAAAACTAAATACAAATATCCTGTGACACTTTTCATGTTAGTGAATGCTTTTATTAAGATTGAAGTATGCTGGAAAAATATTAGCACTTCTTCAAACTAAAGAATTTATAATGAGCTTTTGATATCTATGCATGTGGAAATACAGTTTGGTTCCAAGAGCATACCTCTAAGGATGTCAGGAGTTATCTTAAGCTTTTCAATTCTTAAGTCTCTTTCTCACCCTGACAAATATTCCCCAAAGCCAATAGCTCTCTATGCTGCCTATTACCCTGATACTTTTAACACTCATAGAATGTGATATAATTAGTGCTTAAGAATGTTTATCTGAAGTTATAACTTGCTATATTATTCCAAAAATATATTTGGGTGTATATTTTTTTATATATATAAAAAGCATGGGTTTCATCTCTTTTGCATTCATGCCTCTGGAAAATAAGGAACAGAAATGGTGGAGTCCTACACTTTACATTCTGTGTTCTTCACT